TTAAGTCGCGTCTTATGTAAGTCGCGTCTTATTTTGTTCCGTATAAATGGCCCTAATGTCTGTTTAGGGTCTATTTGTATTTTCCCACTTTGTCTTTAATTCCCGTGCACTATAGATCAAAATTGGCAAAAATATCTATCCCGGTCAGGTGGGATGAAGCCTTGCTATGAAAAATTTTATCTGCTTTGACTCAGATCCCACCTAGCCAGGCTAGGCCGTTTCTCATATGAAAACAAATTATTTTGTGTATTGTATACGTTAAAAGAGTGCTTGAAGATCTCACTAAGGCGAGTGTTTCCTTTGCAGGAATTGACGAAGAAATTTAATCAAACGACACAATATATAAATATGAAGCAAATGCTGCAGACTAAGAATGAACAGATGAAGAAACTTAGACAAAGACTAAAGAAGTAAGTTATGATAGTATTTTTCATTTTCGGGACTGTTTTTATGATGCTGACTGCACACGTAAAAACGCACAAGTTGTTACAGATCTGCAAACAAGTTGTAACGAGTCTGTTGTTAAGTTGATATCAGGATGTGTTCGCGCTACTTCTTCACAGTTGTTGTTACAAGTCTTGAACAAGTTGTTATCACCTTGCTGCAACATTAATGACGGTAACAATAACCCCCTCCCCCGTTGCACTTACCTGTGCCAAAGCAAAGAGGGCTGATTTGTGGTCATGCATGCAGATTTGGATAAGTGCAATGGAGCCCTCTGCATGTGCATGCAACCAGTGAAAAATTAAGTTCTCTGTAGGATTGCATGGCGAAAACATAACTATAATAATTTTTGTTTGTGAAAACACCACGTAGATTTATTGCTGCAAAACTTTCGATCCGTAAGCCCGCGTCTTCATCAGTTCTAATAATACAGGTATGTGACTCGTTCAATTCACAAGGGACGTGTAAATTGAACAAGTCACATATTATTAGCACTGATGAAGATCCGGGCTTACGGATCGAAAGCTTTGCTGTAATAATTTTACTTGGTGTGTCCACAAACAAAAAGTATTATTATTTAACAATTAGACAACGATGCCGAGTTGTCTATGAGCGAATAGTCAACGAGGCGAAGCCGAGTTGACTATTTAACAATTAGTCGCCGAAGGCGAGGTGATTACAAGCCTATATTCACTGAGCCGAAGGCGAAGTGAATATAGGCTTGTAATCACCGAGCCTGAGGCGACTAATTGTTTTAGTATAAATTTCCAGGTGTTTACAAACAATAATCCACACAACTTTATAAAAATTCACTTCAAATAAATTTATTTTCGCTATAAATAGTTTGTTTACAAAATTTAAATCTTAGACACGGCTCTGTGTCGCGTTGCGACTAAGCCAGTTTTTTTCCAAATAAAAGCACGTAAAGTTTAATATTTTACCTTGAAATATTTTTAAACCATATTTTGTAGCTTGTTTGGGTTTTTTCGGAATGCTATCTTCTTTAATTTTGGCAATTTCCTTCTCTGTTACTACGGCAAAACGAGCAGCCATTTTGAAAAAAAAGCTATAGTCACTGACCAGTGACTGTCACTTCAGAGACAGTGAATCTTGACCAATCAGAATGCAGAAAAATCAATAGTCACCTGGAAATTTATACTAAATACCAATAGTCAAAGTCGCATTTTTCTAGTGTTTTATTGGTCGAGAGCATATCACGTGAGAGTGACGAAATTAGACTCTTCCTCGCAACAGCGAGAGAGGGAAACAATACGTTATCGACCGGCGAATAACGAAAAAAATCATGTGCGCCACCACGTGAAGATGAGACCTTTGGACATGCCTAGTAATTTATTAAGTAGTTTTGGGCACGGCACCCCTGAAAATGGGCACCGTGCCAAAACCGCCACTTCGCTATTTACTCGTTTACACGACAACATTTTGTAAACACACTTTTATGATAGGCACCGTGCCCATCGGAAAACGGCACCTC